ATATGGCAAAATTCAATAATTATTATTAATTCTGCCATATTGGGGGATAATTGTTGACACATAAAAATTCAGCCCAGATCGAATAGCCCAAGGAGTAAAGCTAAACATAACGCATTGTGGTTATCAAGAAATGCAGTTATCAAGGCAGTTGTTAAAGTAGCCCTATCACGTTCCACAACTCAAGGAATTCAATCGAAAGCGGTTGAACGATGAAAGATAATGGCAGCGGTTAAGAGGCAGTTTCATGACAAAATGACCACTATAAAGAAAGTGGGTAGTTATAGGACGATCAAGCAGTTTTCAGAGTAGTTAATCCAAAGAGATCGTCTATAAGGTATAAAAGGGAGAAAGTACGTAGAAGCAAAGGACCGAATCCAAAACTCTCGAACAGAGAATATGTAATTTTCATTTCCTTAACTTTTAGACTTAAACACTTTTCTTTCTGTAACTCGTGTGCTTGCGTCCCTTGGAGGCACGCTGTTTTTCGTTTCCAATTGTAAAGTTCATCGTCAATAAAAGAACACCCCTTTTTGGGACTTTGTCTCAAGAGGTTTCGTCCCTTACACAATCGTCTGATCCTTTTTAATTGTTAGCGACTTAACCCGCGCGAAACAGCTATATTGTTTCTTTCAGTTCTCTTTTCTCGGTAGTTTTAACTTTTGCCTTGATTGGAACATGGACTTTTGCTCCAGCACTAGTTACATGACAGCAGAGGAATGGAGCCAGCAACAGAAGAAAGAGGAAGCAGTGCATGCTAGCTGTCTTCGTGTTCCACGCAGGCACACATTCCCCTTCTCTTGATTTCAATTCGACTGTACATTATATATTGAAGTTTTTAAATATCTCTCTCTTTTTGGGGCCCCACGGAGTACTAAAATGTCTGTAGAAGAACTTGATGCTAATGAAAGACGTGCTTTTTTGAGTGGCGCAGCAGCCTTGCAAGGTCATGCTGTCTCATATGACATCACAAATTCAATTGTTTTTGTATATTTTGGTGCCTGTTTATAACTGTTTGCCGAAATGCCGGTTTTCTTTTGGTACTTGATGCACTGTGCTGCTAAAAATTTTGATTTTGAAAATCTTGTTCCATCTTTCCATGATTAATGTGTATATACCACTTCTCATTGTATAAATTTGCTGCAAGCTTGAGGGGAATGATAAGCTAATTCTCACTCCATTCGAGAAGAACCTAGATATATGGAGACAGCTTTGGAGGTGGTTGAACGCAGTGATTTGGTGAGTTTATAATATCTCCATGTCAAAGTTAGCATTGAATCCTTTGAAGAGTATGATTGTGTTATTGTGACTAATGAACATATCATAAACTTTTAGTATACTTGTTCTCTGTTTAGTCAAACCAATTTTAGTTAACTAAACTGTACCCAAGTAAGTATTTGGAACATTGGTGATTGGGAAGATTCCAGTCATTAAAAGCCTGGAAGCAAAAGAAATTTGCCATGTTTTGGAATCCTAGATTTAATTGTTTGGCCAGGTAATTTGACGGGAATGTTAATATTATTATATTTACCTGGCCATTAAATTTTCTTGACTGCCTAGCTGTATTTTAAGATGACACTTGCCCAGGAAATGATCTTTAATTTACTTTCAGTGGATTTGATTTTACTGCTGCTGTTTGGTGGAAGTTCATGTTTTTTAGAAGAAACTTGAATTTATGTAAAGAGAGATGAAACGCTTGAACTCCTTATCCAAGAAATCAATTTAAATGCTTAAAACTTAGATCTACCCGTAATAGATCTATTTTTAAACTTGAGAACTTATTGCTTTCGTCCTTCAAATGTCCTATTGTTTCTCTCTCCCCACATAGCCAAAGAAATAGCTGAAAGTATTGCTTTCCAAATAACCATACCCCTCTTGTCCTTACCCAAGCCAATTTGTCATTATGGCTCAACATCATTACCATTTCTTTGTTTCCAGTTCTTACTGCATCTGTTGTATTTTCATTTCATTTTGTATCATATCGTGTTATTTACTGTGATTGCTTCTTTATTCTCTCCTGGCAGCTTGTAATGGTTGTCGATGCACGGGACCCACTGTTCTACGGTTGCCCTGATCTTTAGGTAATGCTTGAGATTTTGATTCCATGCTAGAATGATTTTGAATGACTTCTTTTGAACTATTTAAAAGATTCTGCGGATGTAATGATTACACTAATGAAATGTGGAATTTGGAGAGAGATAAATCGTTTTTAGCCTCTAATCAAACCTAACGTGTTTCTGAAAGCACACTCATTTCTACGACTGATAAATAATAATGCCATCATATGAATCTTTGAAAACGACATTAGAGAGACACTACCATTGTTCCTTGATACAATAAACATGTTTTTGTTTATGCTCAGTCTTTAGTGCCAAATCTTTTAATCGACAGCAAGATATACTGATGCGAGATTCAAGAGAAGTTGATGGACACAAAAAGACATTGCTTCTCATTAACAAGGCAGATCTTCTACCGGATTCTGTTAGGTAACATTGCTAAGCTGTTTCCTATTGATTTCTCCCATTAGACATCATCAGAATTTGATGGTAGAAATTTCTGCAGAAACAAATCGGCTGCGTACTTCCGCAGACATGGAATTCTCTTTGCTTTCTGGTCAGCGAAGTCTGCTTCTGTAGCTCTGGAAGGGAAAAAGTTCAGTTTTTCTGCAGGAACGCAAAAAAGTGAGCTAGAATTGGTTGATGCCGAGACTAAAGTATACGGCAGGGAAGAGCTACTTGCTCTCTTGCAATCTGAAGCTGAGCAAATAGTTTCTGCGAGAAACGGTGTAAGCTCCAATGTGGCAGGCCCGTCTCACAGTCATCGTAATGATGGAAATCTTACAGGACATATGCCATGTCACTGCATAATTGTTGGATTTGTTGGGTATCCAATGTGGGGAAGAGTTCAACAATTAATGCTTTGGTAGGAGAGAAACGGACAGTAGTAACCTCAACTCCTGGGAAGACGAAGCATTTCCAAACATCGATAATATCTGACAAAATTACTCTTTGTGATTGCTCTGGATTAGTGTTTCCACCCTTTACGATTTCAAGGTACGAGATGATTGTTTCTGGGGGTTTTACCTATTCATTGCATGACTGAACACAGGGAGGCTATGCAGGTTGTGGCAAATTGAGTACCTAGGCATGTTATCGAGAATGTCTACAAAATTTCTTTGCCGAAACCCAACCCGTATGAACCACAGTCATGGCCTCCTTTGGCTGCAGAGTTTTTGAGAACTTATTGTGCATCCCGTGGATATGTTGCCTCAAGTGGACTGCCGGATGAAGCTAGAGCTGCCCGTTAAATTTTGAAGGATTATATCGACGGGAAGCTTCCACACTTTGAAATGCCTCCAGGAATGCCTATCAATGAAGATGGCATCGAAGATGTTGCCAAACCTAGCCCATTGGAGATTCACCGATCAGATTCGTCTGATATCGAAGATCATTTGAGTGATGAACACGAAGACACTCCCAGTCTAGAGCACGTGTTGAGTGATCTAAATTCATTTGACATGGCTAATAGATTAGTTTCGACTAAGACACCTGTTAAAAAAAAATAAAAAATCTTCGAGCATCTCTCGTAAACAACATGAGAAGCCTCAGAGGAAGGAACACCGCTCATGGAGGGTAAGAGACAATGAGGTTGATGAAATGCCAGCAGTTAGGGTCTTCCAGAAGCCCGTAAACACGCCCCCTCTGAGAGCTTAAGGGCTAGTTCTTATGACAGGTTTTCGTGCATACGGGTGCTCATCATTTTCGTTGTACTTGCAGCTGTCTCAGTTCGTTTTAGTTATGTAAACTGATGGCATAATCTTGCAGTCGTGCCAACGACGGTTCTGGAAAACAATTCTTTGAATGCCGAAAGGGGGCGGGAACTGTCATTTATTTTACTACTGTTGCCTAATGTTTTCAATGGAATGATTCTAATGGTATACAAGTTGATAGCTGTACTCTGTATTTTTATCATCTATAGTATACTGTCAAGAGTTGATTTGCGTTCTTTTTTATACTGCACGATAACTATATCCCATATTTATAGGTGTCAAAATGTGTCTTGCTTATATATAACTTATCTCCCTCTATCTTTGCTCCTTGTCTCTCCATGTGTGTGTCTGCGCATGATGTCTTTATTTGGGGGCCTTTTATGTTTAGAGGCAGTGGTCTGTTTGGTACACGTTCTGAAGGAATTCATGAAATTCATGAATAGAAATTGGGCAAAACTTCTTAAAAGGAATTATCAGATTTATCAGAAATTCATCTGATAAATCCGACTACTTTTATTGTGTCACTTGACCAAACATAAAATTGGGTTCTCGGAACTTTTGAAGTATAGTTTTCAGATCAAGACTAGTTATCAACTTGGTTAAAAACACTGAATTATGGTTCAACCATTTTAGACCCAGATTCACTATTGACATAGGCAGATTAATGGGTCGTTGAATTATTGGTTCTCGTGCTTTCCTTTAGTAGCAAGTCGATTTTTATTACAGTTTTCACGTATAGTTTATGGAAGTCATTTGAATCTGTTTTAAATTATCATTTGATCCTTTATGTCTAATTCTATGAAGCTAGATTTTGTTTCTGTCTCGCACAATTGACCAAAAAAATGAAGTGATACACGATAATTTGATATGGTTAGTTTCTTCTCTTTAAAAATTTAGGGACTGGTAGTGCAATTTTTTCTAATGTTTTTGGGCTGCTGATTATATATTATTTCATGGGAAAATTGCAACCGAGGTACCAAACATTTCGTTTATTAGCAGACTCTGTCCAAACATTTCATTTGTGCCACTGGAGGTACCAAAATTTCAAAAATCCACACCCGAAATCCAAATGGATGGAAACCGTTCATTTGACCGTTAGTTGACTAATAAAATTTAATGTTGACCAATTACAAATGGTAAAAAGGTAAAAGTTACTTAACATTATAATAAAACAATTAAAATAAATAACTAAAAAAAAATACTATTCATCTCCTTCTTCACCCACCCCACCCCACTCCCCCCCCCACCCCACCCACC